CAGATATGAACATAGACTGCAAGCGTTTATCATTTTCATTATTCTGATATTCTTTTACAATAGGATTCTCCATGTATCTTGGACGAAACGAAAATCTTGTACACTTAGACAACCAATTTCAATATATGTAGAACATAACTTGAAAAGAAGAACATGAACATGAAATAATAAAGAAATCAAAAAAATCTTATGATCAATTAGAGGTATCTTTTAAGATTTGTAACACCCAATTAATTATTAGGGGGTTACAAAAAGGTTAAATTACAAAATTACCCTTATCATTAATTTATAATTTAAATTTGAACCTAAAATGAAGAAAGAATGTGATTGGTTAAGGTTGGTTAGCTTAGTTTGGACCATATGGTTGGTTTCTATTTGAACCAACCTCTATGAATGTATGTGAGCATATGTGCATGTTGGTATATGCATGAGGTGGATAAGGGGGGGAGGAAAGGCGGTGTAGCCGACCTTCTTGTTTTGGAAACTATAAATAGGGGCTTAGCCCTTCATTTGCCTCTCTTGCTTATTTTGAGAGAAGTTTTACTTTTAAAAAGAGTGTGTTGGCTGGATTGCAAGGATTGGATTTAGAGGGTTGATTTCAAGCATTTTGGTTTCAAAGGCTTTTTGAGGTGAGTGGTTTCTAAATCTTTTTGCATAAGTTTTATTTCTAGTTTCAATTGCTTATTCATGTTATTACTCCTTAGAAAGAAACCATGCATTTTGTTTATCCGGACATAGAGTGACCGGATAAGTGTTTAAACGGACAAGCCTTGAACGGTTTATTGTCAGGATTATTTTTAAACCGGATAAGCCTTGAACGGTTTATTGTCCGGATTAGATTAAACCGGACAAGCCTTGAGCGGCTTATTGTTCGGAGTTTGATAAACCGGTTGAGTGTTGAGCGGTTTATAATTGGTAGTATTACTTTAGATTTTATACTGAGAAGTAGGAATACGATCATATGGTGAGCGGTTTATTTAAACCGGTCAAGTCTTGAGTGGATTGTTGTCCGGACTTGATATCCGGACAAAGATGAATTTTTGTTCTAAGTGTTAAACTGTTCAAAGAGTATGTGGTATGTTGTCCGGACTTGGTATCCGGACAAAGTTGATTTTAATCTTGTGTTTAAATCGGACGATGTTTGACCGGATTGTTGATCAGTTGGTGTTGAAAATATTTTGATAGAAATTATTATTTTATCATAAAATGAAGTTTTGATATAAACGATTTTTGAACTGATAACAATTCCAATGGCTGCGCCTGCAGTCTAGTCGGAATTATTTTTATAAATGTTTTGATGAAGTGATAAGGGTGGCATATCAAGGAGAGGTGTCCATTTGATATAAGGGTGACATATCAAGGAGAGGTGTCCATTTGATATAAGGGTGACATATCAAGGAGAGGTGTCCATTTGATATAAGGGTGGCATATCAAGGAGAGGTGTCCATTTGATATAAGGGTGACAT